TTACGCACATAAATGAAAGATATTTTCTAGCTTGATAAAACACATTTTTGCTCATTAAAAGCATCGAGCCTAAGGTCATTCCTACCCTCGGGATTATCGAGCCCAAGGGCCACCCTTATCTAAGCCCAAAGGGCTACCCCACTTGGGGACTGTCGCCCGAGACAAGTTCGGGCGACTTGGGTTATCAATACCCAGAAGCACAAAGCCTATTAGGTAGTGCCTAAACTTAAAAGGCTTCGGCCATCTCAAAAACGATTCAGAGACATCCGAAGCCTGTAATCAAAACACAAGGCGTTCAACGGAATTCTAAACCTGTTCAAAGGTTACCCTCAGCAAAGATATAGATTAACAACATTTAAAGAAACATCTTGGGGAAATTTCCCTTCACTCCGAGCTTCAGCAAGTTCGAGCAAAAATTGCATCGAGGACAGGTCTAGTTCGGACCTCCGAAAAATGACTTATTACTATGTTTGATTCTGTGCTAAGGCATTAGAAATATTCGCAATCATAAAAAGATGCTAAGATAATAGACTTGCACATTGCCAAAAGGAAAATATTTTATATTCCGGAATATCTTTAAAAAGGCCCAACAAAAGTGGCCTCAATAGAATATATGTACAGGCTACTAAAAACAAAAACAAAATAATCCTAACACCGAAACCCGAATCGTCACCAGAACCGTCGGGGCCTTCGGGTTCTTTAGAGCCCTCAGAGCCTTCTTCACCATCGGGTTCTGCTAGCTTCTTGGCCTCGACCTCAAGTCTTTTTGCCTCCTCGATCTCGACAGACAGGTAGAAACCGCGAGCATGGATCTCTTTGAGGGTCTCCCATTCGGGATAGCCGCCTCACGTACTCAATAATAGTCTTCAGGCGAGCCTCGACTGCTTTGACATCGGCCCTATATTAGGACTTTATAGCATCACATTTGTTACCGAGGGCGTCCCGCTCTTCTAGAGTCGAGCCCAATTGTGATCGGAGTTCATCATTCAACTAGGACCGCTTATCGGCTTTTTCTTTGCTACCCATAGTTGAACCTCTACCGATGCCAATTGTGCCTGGGCGATTTCCTTCATCGAAGCCAGTCGGTCCATCTTGCTCTTCCAACCATCGGTCATCGCTTGGACCTCATTCATTTCAGCTTTGAGTTGGTCGATCCGAACAATCTTTCGATGATCCTGCGAGGTTTGGTCATTAGTCGCCATGGATAAGTCTTTATTGTTAACTTCGAAAACCTTTACCTTTTCAACAAGATTGGCATATTCCTGCCTCGAGGTCGAAGCCTCATTTTGAGCCCCATCCAGCTCGGCCTGAAGGTCCTTGATGGCCCCTTCGTGCTGCTCGCCGAGAAGCTTGTACATATCTCTTTTCTGGGCAAGCTCCTTGACCTCAAGCTTGAGCTGGTTAACCTCATCTCGGTAACAAAGAAAGCTTTGATGATTAAGTACCGAGGCCTGCAAAAGGGCGAAAAAACATGAGAAATATCAAAAACTAAGTCAAAATTCGAAAGAGCATAATGATGCCTTACCCGATACAGCGCCCGCTGTGCCTCATTGAACAGGCATGGCACGTTAACCTCATTCATTTTCACCTAGTCTTCTTTGGTCACCAGGCATCGGAGGTAGCTCTCAACTTCCACGGGAGCAGAAAGAACCCAGGCATCCTCCGGGATAGTGATGATTATTGACCTCTTGTGGCCGGGATCCACACTTGGGGCGGGGAGCTGATTGATTAATTTTGTGCTCGAGTTCAACCTGCTGACTTCTGAAGAGGGGTCTCACCCAGCCTCGAAAAGTCTTCCAAAACAGACGAGTCCACACCGTCGAAAAAGGAACGAAGAGGATCGTCTGCGCCATGAGCCCCTTTGTTAGACCTCTCCTTTCTTGCTCGGGCCTCCTCGAGCATGTACTCGGTATGGGAAGGCGACCCTAAAATCTCTATTACACCGGGCGCCTCCTTCGGAGCGGAGCCGGCATCCCCGGAAGTCTCACCCCTGGTCTCCTTATCAACCTCCCGAGTTTGAGGGATATCGGCCTCATGAATCTCCTCCTCGATAGCTGCCTGCTCCTCGGGAGGGGTCGGCCCATGGGCCACGAAAAAATCATCTTCCTCAGGCTCATCCCTGAGAAGAAGAAGCGAGTCCGAGTCGGGTGCTCGGGAGCTAGAACTTTCCTTTGGCTTACGAGCCAACCTTTTCTTTTGCTTCTTTTTCTTTAAGCTCGGGAAGCCCGAATCCTTCCTTTTCTTCTTCTTCTTTTCCCCCGCTGCAGCCCCGAGCTACCCCAAAGCGAAGGGGTCAACAAAAAAGGACACATCCTCGTCCCCTTCTAGAGGAACAGTGAGGAAAAAAGAGTAAGTATGATGCGAATGGGAGAGCCCGATGTTACCTATTCGGGGAAGGGCCTTACCATGAGAACGGTCCTCTCGTTGGCCCCTCGAGAGTTTGCGTCATGTGCGCTTGGAATAAGGCAGTTGTAAACAAATGCCCTCAATCCACTCCCTGAACCGAGGGATAGCATTTGGGACTCGAGCGACGGCTGCACCACCACAAGTACCAGTGAGAAAAAAGGAGATGATCGTATAATTGGCATTCAAAGGGAAACTATACTTACGAGATGCATTTCACTTCTCGCAGAATGGCATGAACTTCAGGAGAATTAAGTCTTCGATCTTCTCCCGAACGAAGCGTCCCTGCCAGCCCCGGTTCCAGTCCTCATCAATACTTGAGAATAGGGCTTTGTTGGCCCGGCGTGTGAGCTTTATTAGTCCCCTTCGGAAGATTCGGGGACGGTATAGGCGGAGTGGGTGATCGATGGTGAACTGACGGGATTCAGTCTTGCTGACAAAGTAATGAAAGAGGATCACAATCCTACACAACAACGGATGGATCTGACCAAGGCATACTTCGTACCTCTTGCAGAAGTTCAAGATAACCGGGACCACCAGGCCCAATGTGAAAGGATAAGTGTAAACACTTAGATACCCCTCCACATGGGTAGGGATGGCGTCCTCAAGACCAGGGAATACTACGTCTTTACCCTCTTAGTTGCAGTCCTCCCGGACCACGGGAAGGACATCTTTGGTAATGGAGCATATATACCTTGATACTCCTTCACCCTGGCCCTGCACCGATGATGGCTTTTCGACCTTAAAGTTATCTGCAACTGAGCAGCCCCCCGAGATAAACATGTTTAAGGTAGGCTCGGGGTTCGGTTTGTTGGTAGTCGTGCTAGGAGCAGACGTCTTGAGGACGACTATATCGGGAGTAATCGCTTCGATTTCAGCGGACGGTTGGTAGAAGAAGCAATTTGTTGAGGAACAAATTTTGATGTCTTTGCCATTGCTATCTGAAAAAGCTTGAAAGGTCTAAGAAAAGGTTTTGAAAAATGAAGAGTCAATCTTGTTGATTTGGGTAAAGACTAGGTAAAAGCCTAGAAATTATTGAGAAATCGTGAAGAAAGGAGGTAAAGATATGAAAGTATGAAGAAGGTTAGTAACACCTTGGAGAATCGAAGGTAGAAGCTTGGTCAAATGGTGAAAAATGAACAAAGAAAGGAAACTTTACAGAGGTTTTCTGACGCTTCGCATTCAGAGGTGACCTGCCGATGGCTGACACGTATTCGAAGTCAGAACGACGCGACTGACGGGACGTTTTGGCTCCTTTGTCATTTCTGTTACGGCGTATTAAAGAAAGAATTGAAAAGCATTTGTCGTTTCTCATCGTTTCGGTAAACCTCCTCTCTAAGAAACGAGGGGACTATTTGTATACGGGTAAAATCGAGCCCATTGAACATCTCGGTTTCCCGATAAGAGAAACGGAGCAAGAGCATGATCGTAAGAAATCAAAATTTGGGCAAGGAGCCTTTCATATCGGGGTTCGAGCAAGACACGTGCCCTCGGAGACATTCGAACCACATACTCCAGGTCCGGTTCGAGCCTCGAGACTTTGAAGAACATTATCGAATGGCTGCACACGACTAACAAAGGGTCGTGATATTCGTGCCCAGCCGGATATCACGTCATGGATCTCGGCCCGTATCGGCGGAAAATTAGTGTTTAGTGAAATGGGGGATTCTTACCTTTCTTAGAATTGTACTTAGGGTGAAATTCCCCTACTATATAAAAGGTAAAACTCATTATTCATAGGATACATTGTAACACGCCTATCAAGGCAATATGGTCTTTTTCTCTCTGTTATTCAAAGTTCTTACTTTTGTTCATCAGTTCTTCATTAGTGTGAACTCGGGATCGAAGGCAGGCACTTCGTTAAGCCGTTATTGAGTCCGAAATCACTCTCATTATTGGTTTGCTAGTTTATTACATCTTTTTATTTGTTTAATCTAACGACATTAATCATTTGTATTGAATTGATCCACATATCCTTAAAACCACGTATATATTCAATTGTTATCCTTTTTGAGGGTAAACAATTAACTCAATATTTTAAAGTAAAAATTTGGATATTCAAGAATTGTATAAAAACTACTACTCCCTCCGTTTCAAATTAGATGAGGTACTTTCCTTTTTAGTATGTTCTCAAATAAATGACACATTTATGAATTTGGAAATAATTTAACTTTAAACTATTCATTTTACCCATTTTACCCTTAATAAGAAGCATTTATAACCACACAAATGTCATGGTCTCACAAAGGTTTTACGCCTTAAACTTTGAAGACCAAAAATTTTAAAAGTCTTCTTTTTATTCCTTAAACTTCCTGCCGAGTCAAACTAGCTCGTCTAAATTGAAACGGATGGAGTATAAGTTACACCTCTTCCCATATTAATATAATAAAAAAATACATTTTAAAAATGTTGATCAAGTTTACATAGTTTGAATCTCAAAAATAGAACAGATTCATATAAATTGGGACAGAAGGAGTAGCAGACATGTTGTAGCACTTTCAAAACTATGAACATTCAGGAGTTCGGTACAATGGGAGGGAGATTCATCGGGTTGTGATGACTTGTATATATACCAAGAAACTTCTTTTACAGTACTGTAATTGAACAAGATCTCTTGTTATATGGAAAAATTATTCTTGAGAACAAATCGTGCTAATTTTATCGAAAAGAAAAAAAAAATCAAGAAAGCCACAGGGGTTAATAATGAAGTACAATGACATGATACTCAACAATAGCGACAGTAAAGTTAGCAAAATAGGTCTTGGCAGTGGCAATGTCCCGAGCTAGCCTGAAAACTCCAGAACCACCAACTATTGGCATCTCCCTGTATTCATTTGATATAGCGTTTCTACCGAGCAAACTCAGAGTGCTACAATTGTAAGGTCCATCTGTGAACACAAAATTGAAGTTCATAAGCAGCCCAAATTCATTTATTGCTGCTGAACCATATATTCCTTGAGCTGAACCCACTCTTTTGGAACTCAGCTCTGGTCCTACGGTCAATGGATCATCTATCATTCTGAGTATGCCAAACAAGAACGGTGACTTAGACGTGATGTTGGTGGCTTGAGCAATTACTGAAGATTTTTCGTTCTTTCCACCAGTAGCTAAGTCGTGAAAGTAGAAATGAAGCTTGGTCGTCTTCTGCTTTGCATTAGAAAGCTTTTTAAACCATCGTCCAACTGCTTTTGGGCTTTTGTCAAGAGCATGAACTACAGGCATGGCCGTCAACATTAGTAGCACTGACAATATTATCAGCTGAATAATGATTGTTGGTTTCCCCATGTCTCTCTTGTTTTCTTGTAGAAATTTGGAAGTGTAACAAGAGATGTACAGAAACTGTGATGCGGTTCCAATCTTTTACACCCCTACATATATACAAATAAGAAGCGAGAGAGCATCCAAAGTCAAATGTGGCTCCGGTTATATATGTATATATATATAAATCCTTTTATTTTGAATATTTTTTTTGTTCAAATAACAATTAAGGTAAAGCAGGGTCAGGAACGACGAATCTCTTTATGATAAACAGATCCGTTTATACAAGTTCGTTATTATGGGTAGTTCCTACAAAGGATCGGACTAATGACGTATACAATAGGGCTCATGAACGCACACCTTTGGCCAATTTGATTCGCTGGAGAGATAAACCAGTGGCGCTTTCCATTGTACAAGCACGATTTGTTGGATTAGCTCACTTTTCTGTAGGTTTTATATATATATATATATATATATATATATATATATATATATATAAAACATGTCCACACATATCCTTTTATCAATAAACCATACTTAATTAACACACATTCTCACATTATTTTATGACTCCTAGTATGGTTAAGTTTTACCCCAAATCACTTAGTTCAGGACCTGTGTCTGGTAATGTTTATCACCTAATTATAGTTAATTAAAGTGTATACATACCTTAATTCGAAATTTAACTACGATAAATGATTATGATTTTACGTGTGGGAAGTGAATCTAGCCATCTAGGCAAGGCATTTTTATTTGTTCGTCCCCTATTCATTTGTAATAATACTATACACCTAACCATTGTGGGGATGTAGTGGATAAATTAAACTTACAACCATATATATATGTCAAGTAGAAGCATTATGTTTATGGACTGGATACACCTAGCTCTACAGCCAGGACCGCGTAGACTCTAACAAGTTGACACCTTCGTTCAAACATAAAATCCTGTCCCGAAAGCAAGACAAGAATATATATAATTTGGGAAAATGCATAAGTACCCCCGACCTATATTCGGATTTTCAACTAGACACTCTATCTTTGCGGAATTTTTATTACCCTCCTAAACTATTTTACAGTAGAATTATTTGCACCCAAGCTGACGTGGCAGAGTGTGTGTATTTCACTCTCCTTGGGAGAGTGGGAAACAAGAAAAAACGATTTTTAGTTATTTATTTTTGCTTTTTTACCATTTTTTTCTTACCTTTTTTTTCTTTTCCTTTTCCTTTGTCTTTGTCTTTTTCTTTTGCTTCTTTTTTCGTTTCTTCTCTAATTCCGGCAGATATTCATTCACCAGCGATTATGTCTAACCGTTTTTCTTACATTTATTCTGTTTTTCCTTTTCCTCTTTCTATCCTTTTCAAATACAAATTAAACTCTCAAAAAGATCTATTCATAACCAAGCAAAATACGCTCAGATTTGGGGGAAAAAAATCATCATCGGAAATCCTTCCCACGCACTAAAAAATAGAGGTATTGAAGTTTTAACTGAAAAAAAAAAATCTTCTCATCTTATACTCGTTTTTCTTTCTTTTGCTCTTCCTCGCGCACATATATTACACTTTTAAAAAAAATCTATATAGATATATATAGCAAAACCCTCTCAGATGGGGATAAAAATTTGTCGCCGGAAAAATTTTTTTTCGCCAAAAAAAAAATTATGTCCTTGAAATTCCGACGACCACCATTTTATGCCGCCGGTGACCAAAACAAAAAGAAAGAGAATGAAATAACCAAAAAAATGAGAATAGTAAGAAATAAGAAAAAAGGATAAGAAAAAGAAGAAAGAATAAAAAAAGTACTACATATACATGTGACAGCGCGTTTAATTCACCACTTGCCAAGAGTTTGGTTGTCTAGTATTAGGGTCGTATTTATTCCATTTAAAAAAAGTTTAGGGGCGTAATTGAATTCTCGCAAAGATAAAATGTGTAGTTTTAAATTCGGATATAGGTCGGGTGTACTTATGCATTTTTCCTGTATAGTTTATTTAAAAATTTGTGCGAGCACCATCATTCCACTCCTTTATGATTTTTTATTCCTCAAGTAGTTTCTGGATCAGGAATACAAATTCATATTCATATATGTGACTACATTATTCTTCAAATTCATATATCTGACTTTTGTGGGTACTGGAAAGCTACGCCAGTCACCAATGGTTGTTAAAACATCATGGTATAACCAGTTTTTATACTGGTCAATGAAAAATAGTCAGCGTTTATCAAGTCAATGAAAAATAGCCACTATTTTGCTGCAACAGGGACCGGTCCAGTATAATATACGGGAGTTCTGGTGCATTTGTGTACGAACTCCAGCATATTATGCTGGACCGGTATACTTTGCTAACTCCTGTAAAATTTGCGGGAGACTGGAGCACATTATACTGGACAATTATACTTGCTGGAACTCCCGTAAAATTTGCGGGAGTTCCAACATAATTATGCTTGAACTCCCGTAAAATTTGCGGGAGTTCCAGCATAGTTATCCTGGAACTCCCGTAAAATTTACGGGAGTTCAAGCATACTTATGCTGGAATTCCCGTAAAATTTGCGGGCGTATTTTTCCGGATTTTGAACAGTGTTTTCGCTCAAATTTAAAGTGGCTAAATTTCGATGACTTTTGAAACTTGGCTATTTTTCAACGACCAGTTGTAAACCTGACTATTTTTGAATTTCTTCCCAATGATTTGCTGGCTATATCGATTAGCATCTTAATTAACGAATATTTTTTTTTATGTTTAGACTTCCATTAATAAATACTTAATGTGATGCACCTCGGTCGTGGGATTTTTTATTACTTATTGAGGAAAATTTTCAGAAAAGGAAAACTATGATTGCATGTATATTAACTAAGCAAAAGAAAGAAAAAGTCAAATAGATATTAGACTTTGGGCTAGTTAATTCATTTTGATGTTTAAGATTTCTCAATCAAACAAACCGTCTAGGCTGCTTCAAATACTTGTTCACATAGGAGTTATTAATTAGGCGATTATTCTAAAATATCAATAAAACCAAACAAGGAACAAACTGCGTAGGAACATAAAAAAACAGAATATAGGCATTAAATTAAAATAGTACAGTTAAATTTGTTGCGTGATTTATAGACAAGTGAATTGATTTGATTCAAAATGATAAATAAATTAAATTAAAAATAAGATTGAGCATTAAAATCAAATGAAATAGCAAGTCTGGCCCCGGGAGCAATGCTTCCGAGGACAACAATAAGAGCAATGTAAGCCATAAAGTAAAGTTGTACTATTTAGCTTGAGAATAAAATATGACATATGTTTTGCCAGAGGTTTCGTGTCCTCCTACAATGGCTGTTAAAACTATAATTTATAGCTACACCAAGGAAACAAGATCCTAGAATCAAACCCCTATTAAATGACAATAAAAGGGGCCATTGATGAAGATGTAACTACAGGCCATGGATGCCAAAATTCTCTGCAATGACTACCTATTTAATATTAGGGAATATTTTTCATTCAATGTCATCTGGTGACAAACATTCATTTTGCTTCCGTTGATTATGCTCCCTTTGGGGATCTATCCGATACCATCTACAGTTGTCCTCGGTCTCGGTTCTTACTCGATTCATCTTTTGTTTTCCTCTGGTTCCACGTGTAACGCAGTCATCGATCATTTAATGTAAACTGATTTTACCCTATACAGATAGTCCCCTTGCTTTCTGGTGACACCTCTTTGTGTCATCGGGAAATTGGTAAAGATTTACTTTCTTGGCGAAATATTTTCTGAACCCTTCTGAACAGTCTCCAACCTTGATAAGACGCACGTCTCTTCGCATTTAATACCTCGAACACGTGTTATCCCACGATTCAGCAATACATTTGCCGGTTCTCGAGGTAATCAGGACTACGATTTTGACATTTATATCCTTACTTATACGCCTTATATCACCTCTTTCACTTCTAACAACTTCATAAGTTCTTTATCCTCTTTGCGCTTAACTTTCTTCTGCTTTCATCTCTATCCGATCTTCTTCAAAAGACTTTTTCATCTTCTTACTATCGCGGCTTGTTTCAACGAATCTTATAAGAACTCTAGCCTTCTCTTTGGTGGAGGGCTGGAGAGAAGTAAATATCAAAAGGTTGATGTTGATGCTGATCCCCCTACGGTAAGCACCATTATACCAATCACTTGAGCATCATTAATAACATCCAAGAGAAGTTCCCTTCTGCGAAGCCCCGAACTTTGTCAATTAGCATATATTCTTCTTCTATTTATTGTGACGACCCAAAGGGTCATCACCTGTTTCCTCATTCATTCTGTGCTTATGAGGCCTTGAAAACCTCATTTTTACTTGCCTTGATTTGCGTGCGCAGTTCGGGCGCGTAGCCGGAAAAGCTTTTATGTTGAAATATGTGAATTCTGTGAAAAAAATTGAAGAATTTTGATATTAATATGATTATAGTTGACTTTGGTCAACATTTTTGGTAAACGGACCCAGACCCGAGATTGGACGGTCACGGAAGGTCCGTAGAAAAATATGGGACTCGGGCATGTGTCCGGAATCGAATTCCGAGGTCTAGAGCCTGAGATATGAATTTTTCCGTGAAATTATTTTTCTGAAATTATTAAGGAAAATGGAAATGAAAATTGATTAAAAGACTATGGTATCGGGCTCGTATTTTGGTTCCGACGCCCGGTACAATTCTTAAATATGTGTTAAGCGCTTTCTGTAAAGTTTGGTCGAAATCGAACGTCGTTTGACGTGTTTCGGACTCGAAATGGAAATTTGAGGTTTTATGAATATTTCAAAGAAAATCATGAGTTTTGAGGCTTGATTCTATGTATATGATGTTATTTTGGCGATGTGATCGCGCGAGTAAGTCCGTAGGATGTTTTTGAGGTTGTGTGCATGTTTGGTTTGGAGCCCCGAGGGCTCGGTGAGTTTTGGATAGGCATCGGATTGCATTTCTCATGTTTTGAAAAATCTGGTATTTGGCTTTTGCAATTTTCGCAAATGCGAAGCCAGGGTTCGCAAATGCGAAGGCCCAGCTATCGCAAATGCGAAGGCTGGTTCGCAAATGCGAAACCAGCCCAGGTAGACCAAGCTTCGCAAATGCGAAACCAGGCGTCGCAAATGCGATGGACCCTGGTTCGCAAATGCGAG